GGATCATTGATCCTCTACGTATTGAACAAGACTTCGGGAAATCTATGTGGTTCTGGGCTGGGTGTACATCTGACTCGGCTTCCGATCTCTACCCTGCTGATGGTATTGGTAGCTTCAGCGAGGGAGAGCTACAGGAGGCCATGGCGTCTTGTCTGGTAGCAGACGCCGCTATCTTGTCAATCCCATACAAGCCCAAGTGTATGTTCTTCCCCCGCATCATGTCCATAGAGTTGTTGGAGTCCGTCCTCGAAGGTCTGACTCTCCCTGTTTGTGGTACTTTCCCCGACTGCGTGGTTATGATGCATTTCCAAGGTCGAACCTTGCTGGAAGAGCCTCAGAATTGCGATCTAAGTCATGGCAAGTGCACCGCCTATGATCACCGGAGCCCTGGTTGGCTTTTTGAGATTGTCACGGGCTGGGGGAGAGATGAACCCGCCCCCGCTGCCAAACTCGAGTGGATTCAGAACCTCTATGATGCGGTTTTCCCTGCCTCTCTCGGTACCTCCAATCAGAACTGCGTAGACCTGGACTTGGCTGAGGGTCGTAAGTGGATTGACCAGTTTTTCCCCAACGCGGAAACCTACCGAAGACTCCAACAAGTCAAGTGTCGCTATAATGCGGTTGATATGTTCAACTTCCCCGCGATCGATCTGATGACGATTGACATTGATGACAGCATATGCGAAGCAGGAACTACCACTACGTCAACGACAACCAACGCAGACAGCACTGCCATTAGAACTACAACTGCTGGATCCTTCTCGACGAGCACGAGTACTACTTCTGAAAAGTCTAGAGACTGCCGAGAGGCCGATCGGAAGTGTTCCGAGGGCTACCCAGGCTCCTTTTGTATGACGAATAAGCTTCCGAACGTCTGTCGAGGAAGTAACGTACCATGCAGCTGTACTCCCGGTCATATTCCGTCATCTACAACAACTCGAAGTGTCGATTAACATGACTGTTCTCAGGAGGATCTCCGCTGTGCTATTCTCAAGCAAGGCTCCTATTGTATGTACTGGAAGAAACCTTCTTTCTGCGAGGGTACGAGTGAGTCATGCGACTGCTAGTGGGAATGCTTGGTTGAGACATTATGTGCAACTCAAGTTCGCATCGAACTGTTCCTCTTTTCTAAGGCTTGATGACTTTCCTTCTCGTCTCGTAGTTTTGATGATGCCTAGTTTAAGTGAATACAAGTCTTCTCGATCGATCCCTTCCGTGTTGAGTCACAGGTTTCATGATGTACAGAAAATCTCGAATCCACATATCATATCGTATGAACGTCCCTACATTGTGGCCACCCGAGCTGCGGGATAAGTGGAGCCTTGCTGCTCTGTTATACCTAGGAGCCTGCTGATGAGAAAACTATCAAGCATCCTGTTAAATCTCACAGCCCGTCAATCACAGCAACCTTGGTTCTTTCAATGATTAATCCTACCTCTGGATTGATGTGGTTAGAAGTCTATCACTGTCTGTGTGAGCTTTAAATCCAACGCCGACAACCCGGCCTAGTTAGTCGGATTCGCATCGATGCACATAAGCGCGAGGGGTCAGTTTTTACCCTTTTGAATTTACTCGTTCATCACGCCAAACGTTGTTGTCGACAGGGCGAGATAACCTCCGCCAAGATACTTCTTTCCTTCTCGGCAGGATCCATTTCCACAACGGCTGGGGCCAGAAATGGTCCCCACCAGTCTCAATCGTCTAATCACCTACAGTAAGGTCGCAAGTTCGAAATACGCTAGCAACTTTTCCGTTTCGAGTTTGCATCTCCATCTTTCGGTTTCAGATCTGCATCTTCAATTTGCGCGTCTTGTGCAAGTGGTGGATCACAGCACTACGTCTTTCCCTGAAGGATTACGATCACCACGGGTTGGGGATTGTTATCATACTAGTGAACTATATTTGCCCTTTGATAATATGGTCTCTACGTTGTATGTGGTGCTGAGTGTGCTCTCTCTCCTTTGTCATATTGTATTGGCTGATGTCGACGGGGCTATCTATCGCCTGCAAAACTCACTGCCGGGGAAGATCCAAACTAGAGGTATACCTCCGCCGTACAACCCTCGTTTCAATGCAGCTAATGGTTACAGTCCAGCTGCTATGGTTTACGTGTCATCAGCTGAGGATATCATCGCTGCCTTGGAGATTTGTCATGACGAAGATGCCCCCGTAGCCTTGAGGAGTGACAGCGGCCATTCTTTCATTGGTCAGTCTACAGTTGACGGCGGTATTGTCATCAATTTCATGAAGCTGAGAGACTGGCAGATCACTATGGAAGGGGACCGGTATATCGCCAAACTTGGCTCTGGTTTGACTCTACTAGAGATCTACTCTAGGCTAGCTCGCCATGACCCACCCCTCGGGATCGCTGCTGGTTTGTGTCCATCTGTTGGTATAGCTGGTTTGGCCTCGGGCGGTGGGTACGGCTTCAGCTCGGCGAAATACGGTGCCACCGTTGATAGAATAGTCGCTGCTGAAGTGGTCGTCTATAATCGAGATGGAAAACGGTTCGAGTTGGTTACCGCTACCGGCTACAACGAGCATTCTGACCTTCTTTTTGCTGTACGCGGCGG